TGTATTTCGCAATTCCAGCTCGCCCCCACCCGCCCAGGACGAGGTCGCACTGCACCCGCCAGCGAAGGACGAAACTGAAACGTCTTCCGGTCTTCAAGTCGTGGCAAGGATGCCATACATTCAGTCTCCGAAATTTCAATTGCCTACGCAGTTTCTCCAGTCTTTCAATTCTTTCGGTATGAAGCTTGATATATTCGGCAGCCAAAGTTCCATCCCATGACAAGTAAGAAACACGGAGAATTTCCGTGCTCTTGGGTGCGTTTGTTTTCCTCGAACTGGCATTACTTTTCCACCGACCCCTCGCTTTTCCAATTCAAAGACCCAAACTTTACGGACATTGGAAGATCGAATGCCTCTCCTTCATCTCCTGTGGTCGTATTACATCTACGGAAGAGATGTCAGACGGCAAACTGGCCACGCGACCAATCAGGGATTATTAGAACTGGTTTTGAGATTGAAGTGGGCTCCACAGGCACAAGCGTCACCTGGAATGCCAACGAAGTAACTTGAGGAAGCAGCGTCTATCGCTAGATCGCGCTGCTGATTCAAGTAGCAAAGGTCCACCTTGACACCACGTGCGTCGGAGTAACGTTAGAGTAAAATCTGAATCTCGTCCTCAGTTCTCACACTCGCCCCAAAAATGAGCCAGCTTCAACTCCAGACCTGGATTTGCGGGCCGTTGTGTGGGCAAACTTTGACGGTCTGCCGCGAACGAAGGCCTAATGAATCAATAGGGAGATAATTGCGCTTCATGCATTTGGAAGAATGGAGCCATCCCGACACCGATGGCATGATTTACCTCCTGAGGTGAGTGCCAATTAAGGTTCGCATGGGCTTTGTTATGTAAAGTCGACACCTCAAGAGGTGACCGGTGGGAGTTGAAAAATTTCTCAATAAGGAGTAGATTCAGAAAGAATGGGAGTTATTCTCCTATTGTCTCACAGTGTACACGTACAACATAGTCATTTCTTCCTCCTCACCTTTACCCACTACTTACTCACTATCATCCGCGTCAGCTGTTTCTTAAGTTGTGTGATGCAGATACTCAGTAAAGTGACTTCGAAGTGATGATCCTAGGCTGCAGTTTGGACATTGTACAACATCCACCTCTGATCCATTCACAATTATGAATTCTAACATTGTCCCTAACAGCGTGCATGATTGGTGTGCATGGCACAAAACGAAGCCTATGTAAACTAGGTGTGCACAAGACGATCCTTATAGTTCGAAAGAAAACATCTTGACCTGAAGTATTCTTTCCCGTCTAGTAGGGTCAGATGGTGACAAAACCTTTTTTAGATATGATTGACTTTAAACAACATGAACATATCCTGTCCAGAACCAGGGATGCTATTAAATGAACTTTGTAAGCTCTTCTAGTCCTTGTTTTTCACCAAGCAACCTTTGTAGTCTAGGCTAAGCTGGAGTTTGTCTCTTAATATCATATGCAACAATATTAGCTTTGCATTATCATGTCTAGGATCTAGTTTCTCAGACTTCACTGG